AAGAAGATATTATAATCATGAACATATATTCACCAAACTCTGGTGCATCCAACTTCATAAAAACAATTCTACAGGATTTTAAGACCCAGATCAGCCCCAACTCATTAATAGTAGGGGACTTCAATACCACTGTCTCCATTAGACAGGTTAACAGGGCAGAGAGTTAACAGTGAGACATCTGAATTGAACAATGCCATATATCAAATGGACTCAACACACATCTACCAAATATTCCACCCAAGCACCAAAGAATATACCCAAGCACCAAAGGACATACTTTCTATTCAGCATCCTATGGAACCCTCTCCAAAATCAACCACATACTGGTGCCTAAAACAAATCTCAACAATATAAAAAGATTGAAATAATTCCATGCATTCTATCAGACTGCAATGCAATAAAGCTACAATCAACACCGGAAGAAGCCCTAGTCACCACATGAACACATGGACATTAAAAAACACACTCCTGAATGATGAATGGGTCAAAAGAGAAATTAAGAAAGAAATAAAAGTATTCCTGGAACTAAATGAAAAGGACAATACAACCAATACAACATAACAAAACCTCTGGGACATGCTGAAAGCAGACCTTAAAGGGAAGTTTATAGCTCTAAGTGCCTACATCAAAAAATCGGAAAGAATACAAATAAATGACTTAACACTGCAACTCAACACACTTGAAAAGCAATAGCAAATGAAACCCAAACCCTGCAGACAAGAAGAAATAACAAAAATCAGGGCAGAAATTAATGAAATCAAAACAAAAAAAAAACAGTACAAAGAATCAAGAGCTGGTTCTTTGCAAAGATAAACAAGATTGACAGACTGCTAGCCCCTTTAACCAAAAGAAAGAAAGAGCATCTCCAAATCAACAAAATCAGAGATGAAAGGGGAAACATCACAACAGACACCAGAAAGATACAGAACATTAGAAAGGAATAATTAAAAAACTTATATGCTACTAAATTTGAAAACCTAAAATGTTGGGGAACCCTGCTGTTAGGGTCGCAGTCTCTCCATGTCCGGATAGCCGTGAGCTGGCTCGGCGCCTGATGGAAAGACTCCCCTTTTCAGCAGGGCGCCTCCTGCTCTCTTCCTGGCTCACTTTGAAGTGGCCGCCACAGATGCCTTACCTGAAACATGACCTCTGGCATAGAAACTACCGGGTTTTTTCTATATGATAATCAGGCATTGTCTGACAGCCTGATTGATAGAAGCCCACTGCCACATGTAAATGAAGCATACTACAGAGCACCTATCAGCTGAGGCTTTTGCTACTGCCTCCACACTATAAATCTTCTAGTTTTCACCCTAATAAACTGGAGCTGTATCACTGACTCTGACTGGGCTGTTTTCACTGTGCCTGGAGCTGAGTTGTGTCTCACTGCACCTGGGACCAGCCTGTGATCAGTCTTCCCGGAGGAGTTCCGTCAACACCCACTCGCCCGATTCTGCGTTCGCCATTCCTGCACTTCCCCGCCCTCGTGGTTCGGTGGCCAATGACCCACGAGCCGAGGGGAGCCCCCCGCAGCTAGCCTGAGCCTCCCACAGCTTGGCGCAGCCCACCCGGCAGCCTGCAGCCCCCTGCAGAGCCTGCACTCGCCAACGCCGCCGGGGACCCGCCCTGCAGCTTGCAGCAGATCTGCAGAGCCGCCAGCGCCCAGCAGCCGTGGAGAGCCAGAGACCCGCCCAGCAGCGAGACCCTACCCAACCAACAGTAAAAGAAATGGATGGATATCTAAAGGCATGGGAACAACCAAAACTAAAGGGCAGCCTGCAGCCCCCTGCAGAGCCTGCACTCGCCAACGCCGCCGGGGACCCGCCCTGCAGCTTGCAGCAGATCTGCAGAGCCGCCAGCGCCCAGCAGCCGTGGAGAGCCAGAGACCCGCCCAGCAGCGAGACCCTACCCAACCAACAGTAAAAGAAATGGATGGATATCTAAAGGCATGGGAACAACCAAAACTAAAGCAAGAAGAGATTAACTGCTTAAACAGACCCATAACACAAAAAGAAATTGAAACAGTAATACAAAACCCCCCTACTCAAAAGAAGCCCAGGACCAGACAGATTTACAGCAGAATTCTATCAGACATTTAAAGAAGATCTGCATCCAATACTACTTAATTTATTCAAAAAAATAGAAAT